AAGTTACGAATTATTATTAAAGTAAAAGGAAACCTGAAAATATAAATCCTATTCATGATTTATGAGTATAGTATAAAATGAAAAACTGATATGAATGTGTATGAGCTTATAGTACTTTCGGACTGCCAAATATGTAATGATTATTCACAAACAAAAATAGCAATACTGGGAGTAAATGGTGTTTTAAAAATTATGATAATAATTCAGTTCCTCTACTTTCTTCATAGAATCACTTATCTTCTGGTCACAAATCATTGCTTTACTGATTTTCTGATACTTTTTCATAGATGTCAAAGGTGTAGTGGCTATTTGGAATTGTAATTCTATTTAGATTATAAAATTGTAGTCATTAGAGTACTTATATAAATATATAAAATCCATCCTCATGAAAATTTGTATTTGCTATTGTTTTATGTTGCTATAACTTCAAGTTTAGATGCAGTTTGTGGCAGTTTTGAAACCATTACTTTTCATAAACCAGTTTTTTTCCACTTTCCTTGTCAATGTTACCAAAGCAGCAATGTTATCACTGAAATTAAAGGATTTCCTCAGCTTCTGACGTCATTAATGGGAAGTGAATTACTCATTCATTGTTATCTTGGATAATGTTTTTTAAACTCGGTGCTATTTATGGATGAGATTGAGAGATAAAGGTAGGACAAGTTGAATAGTTTTTGTGGTCGATAATCACTCAGACCGACAAATAAGATTAGGTTGTGAATTGAAGTTATTTATGTTTGAATTTTTGAAATATGTGATCCATAATTGGTAATTGGTTGACTGTCGTGGATATGAAGAGAAGAATAGTTGGGTGCTCAGTCAAAAAGGAAGGCAAAAATAAATTATAATATTTATTTTTTACATCTGCCGACGTTTCGACCTGAAGTTCAGGCCATCATCAGGGCTAAGAAAATAACCAGATAACAAGGTATGAGAAACTTAAGTAATGATGGTAAAAAAGAATAGGGAAATATGTGATCCCTTAGAAATTTTTCAAATTAAGTTGCAATCTCTGCTTAATTGTTAATCCTTTTAAATAATTGCACTCCTCCCTCTTTAGGCTACACCTTTGAATTTGTAAGTAAATGATGATTGATTCACTCAATCCACCTTAGGGCACTAGTGGATCCGGGATTTAATTTTGGGCGGGGCTTCAGCCCGAAGGATTTATGTATATGTAACTATAATTAATTTGAAGAAAAAAAAAAATGAAACTAACTACCCATATGACATGGTGTTTTAGTGATTCTTGAAGTCCTGTTAAATGTAATTACACGAACAATAATAGTTTAAGAGACTGTTTATTATAGGCTGAATATCTAAGAGTGGCATTGGATTCACTTTCCTTTTAGGATGAGTATCCTGCTCATAATTTATGTTGCTGTGGCATTGGATATTTTAAACAGTATCGGTCTGTGAACAATATAGCTCAAAAATAAAAAGTTGTACACAACTGAAATTTCATATTTAAGGTTTGTACATGCCTCGGATGTGCGGCAACTTTTTCGTTAAAATCGGCTAACCGGAAGTGCAACTTCATATCATCGATTTTCTCGATAATAGCTCGACCGATTTTGTTTAAATTTATTATATCAGTACAAAATTAAGATTTTTTAAATGTAATGTTGGTCTTCTTATTAATGTTCTCTAACAGGATTTAAATACCTAATTTTCAAATGTTCTTCCTTTAAAGTACCTTTATTTTTTTTATTTGAAATAATTAACCATTTCCTATTAGGAAATAATATAAAAAATGGTTAGATTGAATAAATGAAGAGAATTGACTGGTAACTAACGCAGAAATAAGGTTCGGAAGTTACACGGAAACAGCCGAGAAGGCCCAACCTTAGCCGATTCTCTTCCTTAAGAACTCCACTGAGTCTCGCGGGCCGGATTGAGACCTCCGCTAAGTCCTCCGGGCCATCATGGTTCCTCTAAAGAAGGAGGTTTTCCTCTAAAGAAAGAGCTAATCTTTCTTTTTTTGTGGAAATGAATAATAAAAAAAATTTCTATTGTTTTAATTGCTTCTGCTATAGCATTAAAAAAAAAATTTGTTCTTTGTAATGCCTATTTTGTTCCTAGAAATTTAAACGTTTCTTGTTTTCTCCCACTTCTCTAGAAGAAAAAAAAAGTATCACCCACCTCCCCGAACATATGGCCATTTTATCTTTTTAAAATAATTCGGAGTTGGTTTCTTTTTTTTTTTTTTTCCAAAGTAATTTTCGTTATTTTTATGAAAAAAAAGCTTTCGGGCTGAATCCCACCCTAAATTAAATCCTGGATCCGCTAGTGTTGTCTGGCAATGTTTTATTTTGCCTTTTGCATGACGAATAGTTTCAAAATTTAAATTTTTCTGTTAAGCAATCTAATGAGAGTATATATATCGCTTTTTATGTTGTATGATTAAGGCGGTTGTTCAACTCAACAACTAGTGCAAGCAAACACGACCCTGTTTGCTTGTACAATGCTTGCAGGTGAATTGATTGTATGAATCGCATTGCAGTTAATTTGAAATATTTTGTTTATCTCTACATATTAGCAAATTAGTTTATTTTACTTCAATACAATTCACTGATACTTTTGGTTTATTATTTTAAAAAATGAACCATTTTGATCGAGCAAAAAAATCAAAAACTTAACCTCCTCTCAAAATTTGAGGTTTTACGTTTGAGAATTTTGAAAAATGAATAAAAAAATTTTGTCCGTCCGCCGTCTGCGCATTTTCTCCGAAACTACTCGACCGATTTTTTCAAATTAGGATTTAAAATTAGAGGTCACTCTAGGATGACCCTCCTTCATCGGCATTTCTATCCGCCTTTTCCTTTCAAGATGGCGAAAGAAAAATCTACGTTGCTATAGACTGTAGCGCCTAAACGAATGTACCGACTTCACTTAAACATCGCTAATCTTTTTCTCGACGCCCTTTAAGTCTGCTGTGGAGAAATTTTGAATAAAATAAAATTCAAACATTACATTATATAAGCTTAAGAAGTAAATTAATGTTTTGGGGATGACGTCATTGTTCGGGGAGGCGAATATCTGAGGCCGGCCGGTACTGCAATGAATAATCCTTTGAAAAGTATTTCTTAATTCTTAACTGAATGTAACTGTAAATTGAGGGGATGGGCTAACGCTTGTGCACAGCAAACCAGATAACCTAAGTTATGAGATTATAAAAAAAGTACGAGTTGTCGTCCCGGTGCCTTCGGCTCGCGAAAATCCCGTATAGCCTAAAAGGTGAGGCAGGAAAGAAAGAGGAAAAAAAACTGAGTATGACTAAATAATTCATTAATTGCATGTAGTTAAAAGAACAAATTCATTAACTAAACGTTTCCTTCGAAAATAAATGACCGTGGATTTCGTTATTTAATATTGACGTTCGCCGCAAATAATATAAGGGACTTTTTTATTAGCATTTGAAATCTGAGATATTTCTCCGATACACATCATTGGCTGAAAGACGGCAAAACCATAATTCTGAAGAAAAAAAAAGGATAGGGAAAATTCATCGACTTAGTGATTTATTTTTTTTTAAATGTTACTTAATGAATCTTTGCATTACAGGTTTGATGTTATTTTATTGTTTTTTGAAAGCCAAAAGAACCTTACAAATTCTATTTCTCAGAATTTAGGATTTTCATTGTTTTTCTACTGAAGATATATGACGCAATCTCTGATTTATGCTACACATTAATGCTTTGTGTTTAACTTTAATTAGACGATGCCGATACTTTAAAATTTTCTTCTATTAGGGATATCTTTCATTTTCGTATCGATAACAAATTGACAAACTGCGCATCCCACTACTTTCACTTAGCACTCTTAGCAGAAATAAGTATTTTCAGACAAAGGGGAATTAAAAGCTAAAATATAAACGCTTTATTTATTTATATTTCTTTGTGGCTACTTTTATTTGTTTAAGTGCCCCTTTATATAAAGATTTTGATTTTTATATCGCTGTAATCTATACAATAAAATATTAATTAATACCAACGATGCCATTTACGAAAACTCCTCATATTACGAATGGATGACTTATAATCTTTTTAAGGCGCGCTCGTATTCCTTTGGTTTCTCCATTACAACTATTATCCGTTACGATCTCCTTTAGTTGATCATAAAATTCTTTGATTTCTTATATTTAGCTTTTTTTTTTATATTAGACATCAATGTGAAATGTTTAGTTATTAAAAAAATAAAGAAATTAAAGATACTTTAGAGAAAGCTAATATTGAAAAATAGCCATTTAAGCCCTGTTAGAGAACAACGATGAGAATAAAACCTACATTATATTAAGAACTGCTTAATTTTACACTGATATTATGAATTTAATCCAAATTGTTAGAGCCGTTCTCTAGAAAATCGTAAAAATGTGTTAAATCCGTCATACAAGTGCCACTTCCGGTAAGCCGATTTTGACGAAAAAGTTGCTGTATTATCTCGGGCATATAAAAATTTTAAATATGCAATCCTCTTATATTTAAAATAGGTACCTGTAATAGGATGAAGTGTTAATGTATTAGTAATACAATAACAAATTACCATAATTTTAAATGAAAATAACGAACATTCATGATGCAGTTTACTTAATTTTCAGAATGTTAACATGAAAAAATCTGTTTTAATCCATATAATAATCCAGAAAACAAAAAAAAAAAATAAATAAAGTAATAATTTGAAGTTGTATATAATTATTTTTTAAATTTATTCTTATAATACTCATAATATACAGAACAATTTATGTTGAATATAAATATATCATACTGAAAATCATAAAATCCTTATCAGATAATGCTTACAGTACATTATGTATTTTATGAACTAAGATATTTAGTTCATTGCTGTGAAATAAACATTATTTACACAACATATTAAAAATAAAATATCATAACTGTTTTCTACGAATTCAGAACAAGATATTAATTTTAAGATTATGTTTTTTTTCATGTTAATATAAAAAAAAAAATATATATATAATAATTTAAGTTTTTTGTTTTAAGGAAGAATAATGGTGGAAAATGGAGAAAATAAAACCAAAGAAACAGAAAAGGAAAAAGGATATGAAGCTCTTATCAAGCCAATTCAAGACGTAATAGCCAAAGATTGGAAAGTTCGACTTTGCAATGTAAGATTTTTAAAACAGATAATTAACTGTTGTTTTTTTTTCTCAATTTCTTACCCTCTGTTTATCTCCTTCACTTTTTTCCTTATAATCAATGTCAGCTTTATAGACCAGAATATTAATTGCATATTTAACAATAACTAATTTTTATTTAAATGCTCTCCTCTATGACTATCATCTGCTAGATTAGTTATAGTTTTTATGTTTGTTTTAATATTTTTACTTATCACTCAAGTTTGTTTTATTTTATTGACCCATATCAAGTCATAAAAGGCCATTTGTTACCAATTTTATAATTTATTTTATGATCTTAATGAGTAAGTTCTTGCCAAAACTAGGGCAATTTTCTAGTATTTTCAACGGTTCTTTGAAATTCATTATTTTCCTTAATTTATTTGAATATTTGATTAAATTCATTAGTGTGTAATTGTTACAAAAAACAAATACGCCATATTTAAAAACCAGGGTCGGCTGCTCTACCCATCGCTCTTTTTGATTTACAAACATTAGGTTTAAAGAAAATAATGTTATGGGAGATATCCTTTTTCTTGAGAATGACAAGTTTGTTTTGTTGACCAAAACATCTCTCTTACTTCAATTATTATTATGCCCTTTAATGTTAGTCGTTTGTAAATTTTAAACAAAAAAAAAAGTGAAAGAAATCTTGTAACTTTTAATTCTATTTTAAGAATCAGAAATTAGAGTAGCTCAAGATTTATCTATTAACTTTTATTTTTTAGTATCTGGATATTTATATTGAACATATCCATGAGCCTGGTACAGTATTCATCAATTTCACTGAAGCAGCACTGCTTGTTCAGAATACATCGACCTACTATTGCAAAAGGGTTGATCTCATGTATAATTGGGTTAGACAGTTCTGCTTTTCTTTAGCTGAAAAGTAAGTAATTTTAAATGTTTATCATCTATATTAACTTTTTCATAATTCCATTGATTTACTGAATTTAAATAATTGTGAAACTATTTTTTAAAGATTTCTAGAGGCGACTACTGAAGAAGGAGAGGCTTCTCAGGAAAAGACAAATGAACCAAAAACATCCCAGAAAAAGGGAAAGAAAAACAAGAATCAACTACACTCAGATGATTTAGAAATCGTACCACTTACACACACAGGTACTTCTATTAACAAGCCAATGAAAAGAAATTGATCTTGATTAAAGAAATATAAAGATGTATTGTTTTTTTAAATATTTTTATTGGTGCATATAATGCATAAGTTTGTGTCAATATTTATTCAAGTATTTTAGTATACTGATTAGTACAATTTCTTTATCTCATGTGTAACAGACTTCACCTCTTTTTTTGATTTGAAATTTTAAAATAATTCGATTGTAGAGATCACTGCTAACATTATTTTTAGTTGGCACATTTAATTTTACTGATTCATTAAATGGTATTCTGAACACATGAATTTACTCTTGGCATAGCAATCAACTTTTCGGTAAGAGAATTTTTTTTAATCGCTCTTTCTTCAACGGGTTTCTTGTTGCTATTAAATCAGTCAGCCATGTAATGTATTTTATCAAACTTATTTCATGCATTTATATGTAAGATTGAGAATGTTATTTTATCCATTTATATTGATTGAATGGCTTGTGTTTTTAGGAAGTAAGACAGTCAATTTTAAGCTTGACAAAATAGATCCATCTCTTATAAGGAAAATAGTTCTCAATTCTTGCATGAAAACACAGACTAAACCTGCAACATGCATACCTGTTCAACAATCAGCTACAGAGGAAATGGGATTCAAAGATGAATTTCGGTAAGTAAAGGTATTCTATAAGTTATTTAAAATGCGTGTTTGATCAATGTATCTTCTTTTAGTTACTAGCTGAGGCAGATAAATAAGAAGCATGCAGATATTAAGATAAAACTTAGTTTCTCTAAGCAAGATTTGAACTCGGTTCTGTTACATAGTCCTTATCTACCCCCTCACTACTTCACTACTTTTAATATATCTATATCCATCAATAGAATTATCAGATAATTATGCAATGATAAAAAAATATATAAAATTTAAAACAAATAAGTTTATCTTCAATTTATGTTTAATAAAATCCAGAAAATTATTCCTGTTATTCGCTGGCTTAAAATTTGAGGTACACAGAATGTCGAACCGTTCAAATAAATCACAGGTATCATCTAATAATTTTTTTACTGTATTGAAGGAGTTATTTTATTTTATTATTTATTTATTTTTATTGATAAAGTCTGTTTAATTAAATAAGTTTGTTTTTATTTTAGTATAACTCTAATTTAATCTACTCACTTATACTAATTTCTTGTTTATGTTTATAGATTGCATTGGAAAATTGCTTATGATGGACTTTTACATGAAGATTTCCGATATGATATTTCCCAAGGTGGCATTGCAGGTATTGGTTGAAGCAACATGATTGTGTTTTGCTATTATATAATAAATACTTACTATTAATTTTTCTTTGTATAAAATGTTTCAGATAAAGATAGTTTGTAACTTAGTTATTTTCTTAATCTATACAAAATTTTACTTGTTTCATTCAAAACATATTTGTAGAGTTCATTAATTTTTATGTTTTTTTATATTTTCCATATTACCTCAATGCTTTTGTTTTAATGAATTTTTGTGTTGTGCTAATTTCTATTTTTACCTATATTGTTTTATTCTATTATTTCTTTCTTTTTCTATCAGCTGAAAACAATGCTCCTGAAATTGACGATTTATTGAAAAATAATGAAGACAACGATGATCATGATTTTGGTGATGTTGGAATGGACACGATTCACGACAATGATATGGACATTGACGCTGTACCCCCTGTAAACCCAGAGCTCAGTGGTTCGGTACATTTGAACACTGATTTGCCTGAACATAGGGCATCTGAAGATTTGGGCTTAATGTATGTTTTATTATTAATATCTGATGATGCTATGTACTATAGGTTTAGTTTTTGCTGATAATGAGCAAATATCTTGTAATTCCTTGACATCTCTATTTACTAATCGAACACCTAGAAACTCTTTTATGATAGACACCATTTCATTCATTGTGTACAGTAAATACCTTTTTATACTCTTGAGTTTTTTTCTAAAGTAAAGAACTCTGTCCTTTGAGTTGCCAGAAATATGTTAACGCATGACAGAGTTGATAACAAAGTACTCTGCTTACAGAGTTATTAAAGTTTTTTATCTAGATTGTTAACATTGCAAAACTTTCTCTGGCACTGTTCTGGTTTAGATAATTATTACTTAAAAAACCCGAGCTGAACGTCAAGCCTGAATAAATTTTTTATCACTAAGTTTATATTTGTTTTCATGTGTATAATTGCTTTTTGTTAATTTATTTTTGTGTTGACAGTTCAAAGTTTTTCCATCAAATTATGTTTCTTTGTAATCAAAATTTTATGAGAGTGGAGAAATGAAATATTTTCCTGGTCGCACGGCTATTAAAAAAATAAAAACATCTAAGAAATGGTAAGATTAATTTTGAGTCCTCGCTCTAAAGAGGAGACAAAATAACTAATTAACCTATAGGAAAGACACCCAACTCTTGGGTGTATAGATCGTGGAGTATAGGAATGCTTATAAATTAAAAAAAAAATTGATGACATAGGAAGGGGAGGGATTCCCAAGATTTGAAAACTAAATGGCTAAACTTAAAATGCCAATTTCATAGGAAGTTATGAAAAATGACCACATAAGTGGCTTTTGACAAAATTTAGTTTCTCATTTAGAATATTTCAATGCTATGAATCTCCTATACAGCATTATGTCAAATTTGGTAAATATCAAATTCTAAATTAAGTTTACTTTGGGATCTTCTGTATCAAGATCCTCACAAGTTGTATACTGCTGAATGCATGTATCACAAATATAGTGTTTTTCAGTTCTAAGTCAATTGGCTTTTAAAGAACTCTGAATCTGCTTGAGACTTTTCCATAATGGTTTTTGACTATTCTCTTGCCCCATGAATGGAAATGGCATCTCTCGTGCATCTATCCTTTTCCTCCATTAATAGAATAACCGATCTCAATAATAAATAATATAATAATAATAAGGCTTAGCGAACCCGAAGGTTCGATTTAAACTTAAAATGCCAATTTCATAGGAAGTTATGAAAAATGACCACATAAGTGGCTTTTGACAAAATTTAGTTTCTCATTTAGAATATTTCAATGCTATGAATCTCCTATACAGCATTATGTCAAATTTGGTAAATATCAAATTCTAAATTAAGTTTACTTTGGGATCTTCTGTATCAAGATCCTCACAAGTTGTATACTGCTGAATGCATGTATCACAAATATAGTGTTTTTCAGTTCTAAGTCAATTGGCTTTTAAAGAACTCTGAATCTGCTTGAGACTTTTCCATAATGGTTTTTGACTATTCTCTTGCCCCATGAATGGAAATGGCATCTCTCGTGCATCTATCCTTTTCCTCCATTAATAGAATAACCGATCTCAATAATAAATAATATAATAATAATAAGGCTTAGCGAACCCGAAGGTTCGATGCCGACACCACCAATCGCTTGTTACACACCTCCCTCCACCGTTCGCCGTCCAAACCCAGTCCCTTCAGATCGGCTTTAATGCAATCTTCCCACCTTCGCTTCGGTCTACCCCTCGGACGCTTACCATTCGGCACAGCAAATATTAACCTTTTAGGAATTCTCTCGTTACTAAGCCCAACAACTTTACAAGCCCATTTGATTCGCCGCGATGAAATTACCTCAATTATATTACCCGGATACAGCTCACGCAATTCAGCGTTGTGTAACCGTCTGAACTCTCCGGTTAACTCATCCTTCTTCGGTCCGAATATTCTACGCAATACTTTATTTTCAAAAACCTTAAGACGCTGCTCATCCCTTAATGTAAGCGGCCAAGTTTCGCATCCATAAAGAACTGTAGGCAAGATAATCGTTTTATAGATTCTAATTTTTAAGGCCCGGGACAAGAGGCGCGAACTAAGTAGTTTTGTCACAGAAAAATAACAAGCATTCCCCGCCTTCAGTCTAACCTTAATCTCTTCTTCAATTTCGTTTTTTCTAGTTATCGTAGAACCTAGATACCTAAATTTATCTACCTGTTCAAACATATTACCATGTATATCGATATCACCAGTAGTATCGCCATTTTTGCAGCTAACCATATATTTTGTTTTATCCACGTTTATTTCGAGTCCTAGTTCTTTACCGGCTTTCATTAACGTTGTCGTATTTAGTTTTATAGTTTCAACGTCTTCGCTTAACAGTACCAGATCATCAGCATAGCCCAGCACGGATGTTGTCCCGCCCAGATCCAACCCTTTCTCGGTTCGCATTACCTCCCTAATGGCATGTTCTAATGCCAAATTGAACAGGACAGGCGAAAGAGAATCCCCCTGTTTTAAGCCCGAACGAACCTCAAATTTTTCGGACAAATTATTACCGATTCTAACTTTATTGAGTGTCTCCGTCAAGCACATCCTGACTAGATTTACTAGTTTTTTTGGAATCCCCTGCTCGATTAGAATATTATACAGTTTCTGGCGGTCAATAGAATCGTAAGCCTTTTTAAAATCTATATACAGCTGGTGAACAATACCGTTATACTCCAATTTTTTCTCTAATATTTGCCGTAAAGAAAATATTTGATCAATCGTCGAACGATTCCGTCTAAATCCGCATTGGTAGTCTCCGATAATTTCCTCGGCGTATTCCGTGATTCGACTGGTTAAGATTAAAGTGAATATTTTATAACATACCGGAAGGAGTGAAATTCCTCGATAGTTATTACAATCCGTCCTCGGACCCTTTTTGTGAATCGGAATAAGAATAGATTCTTTCCATTCTTCAGGTAATTTCTCGTTCACCCAGATCTTTTTAACCAACCGATGTATTTTAGAAACTCCAGCTTCCCCGCATGCCTTAATTAGTTCAGTAGGAATATTATCGATTCCCGCTGCTTTATATGATTTTAATTTTCCGATAGCTACTTCAACTTCCTCTTTACTTGGTCCTTCTATTAACGGTTCAGCACTCTGGTACTCAGAAGGAGGACACAGATCATAATTTCCCGTATTTAAAATATTGTCAAAGTGGTCCTTAAACTTATTCAATATGTCAACCGGATCGGTCAGAATATTGTTATTATCATCCCTAATTCCAGACGTTACGGGCCCTACATATTTACGTGATCTGTTTATACCTTTGTACATGTCTCTTACGTTATTTTCGATTCTATTAGTTTCTATTTCAATTATTTTATTTTTAAGATACTCCCTTTTTTTATTTTTGAACAATTTTGTCGTTTCGTTCTTTGAGATTCGGAAGTATTCCAGATTGTCTTCGCTAGGATTATTTAGAGCTTTTAATTTAGCGGCTTTTCTTTTTTCACACATGTTTAAGCAATCTTCATCAAACCACGGTTTGTTATTCTTATTTTCCTTTTTTCCTAGACACGAGTTACCGACCGCTTTAATATTATCCCTGATCTCTATCCATAACTTGTCAATATCCTCGTGGTCCTCGTCAGGAAGCTCTAAAGCTTCAAACCTATTCTTAACATCTAGCTCGAATTGGTTTCTAATTGATGGATTTTTAATTTTTCCAAATTAAAATTCTCAAAATCGAAACGGTTTTCTTTTCTCTTTTTTATATTAAGTTTTTGTCGAAGTTTCGCGATTACTAATTCATGATCCGACCCACATTCTGCTCCGCGATAAGACCGTACATTAATTATACTGCTTTGCCAGCTATGTTGTATCAAGACATGATCGATTTGATTTCGTGTTTGCGAATCCGGTGATGTCCAAGTATATTTATGAATATCCTTATGTTTAAACGTCGTACTTTTAATTATCAGGTTTTTCGAGATGGCAAAGTTTATCAGACGGATCCCATTATCATTACTATATTCGTGCAAACTTTCTTTACCAATCGTCGGAACATAAACTTCTTCCCTTCCTACCTTTGCGTTCGCATCACCTACAATTATTTTCATGTAGTTTCGCGGTAGTTTATCATAAACCCATTCGAGTTCATCGTAAAATTCACTTTTGACTTCATCGTCACTGTCTTCGGTCGGACAATGTATCTTTATTAATGCGATTTTAAACCAACGTCCCTGAAATGTAGCTACCGAAATTCTATCACTAAAGAATTGTACGTCCCTCAAAGCGGATAGTAATCTACTCCTAATTAGAAACCCGGTACCTAAACAATGATTCCCGCTTCCTCCGTACCAAATAGTGTACTTCCCTTCCCTCATCGAGCCCTCCCCTGGCCAGCGAACCTCTTGCAGAGCCACGACATCCAAATTGTACCCATTTACCTCATTCGCGACCGATTTTAGCTCCCCTGCTGTGTTTAAACTCCTTACGTTCCACGTACCAATATTTAAATCCCTATATTTCAACTTGCACCATGAATCCACTAAAGCAGTCCCCACCCGGAGACCCGAACGGGGGACTAGTTTACCTCCGGATAATGAGCGTTTTACCTTAGGGAGATCCATGACTTTTTGTGGTGTTTGGTGAACTAAAGATATGTGAGTAGGGCGTTCAATCCTACGTCACACCCTCCAGCAAGTCTGGTGGGCCCCTACCTCCAGCAAGTCTGGAGGTCTCCTCCCTCCAGCAAGTCTGGAGGGCCCCTACCTCCAGCAAGTCTGGAGGTCCCCTCCCTCCAGCAAGTCTGGAGGGCCCCTCTCATTGTTGGTCAGCGAGTCCATCGGACTTAGCTGGGAGGAACTTCCAAGGAATTTCCACCGACCATCCCCACATCCGCCACCCGTGGGACGCTCCCCATACGCGGTAATGAGCCCGCGCGAGGAACCGATCTCAATATATAACCAAAATCTCTACTGAAAATCATAACAAAATTTTTAAAAATGCCATCTCACTGTTTCTATGCTCATAGTTAATTTTGTAATAGAAACCCCTACTTATTCTTCTAGAAAAATAATCCTCAGTCCGTACAATTCTGTTAACTGTTTTATTCCTTTCTCTTTCAACAATAAATAAACCCCATTACCACTGCTGTCTTTAATTTTCCTCCCATATTGTGAAGTATCTATTTAGTATTATTTATTTTACTAGAGGGGCAAATACTCCTAACAGGTGCTGAGAACATGGCAAAGAGATTTGATAGAGAACTCTATTATCACCTGATATATGATAAATGAAAAAAGTATTTAGTCTCAAAATGAGGGAAAACGCGAAATTGAACCAAAAAATTGGAAAATGCATTAAGCGAAGTGCCAAAATCTCGGAAAAGAAAACAAGTCTCACTATGCATTATACGGCTAAACGAATATATAGTAGACAGATGATCAGAACATTTCAAGATGCTGCTAAAAGGGGGTCAAATGCTGAAGCAACTTTCATGATTTTAAGGGGATGATGCAGGTTTATTATGGTTAAGACCATTTTATAAGCAACAAAGATTTGTTTGAAGCAATTGGCAAGTCAGTTGGTCTGGACGAACTAAACCGAACAGACAGCTTCGCACTGTTTTGCGCGTACATACGCAATAGATGTATTATAAAATGATATGAAAGGACTGTAGTTTTGTCCCTTTACAAGATAGGAGATACTAGAAAATGTAATAGCCATCGAGATTCATTCCTGTTTAGTGTACCTAAGAAACTCTTCTCATGAATCGTAGAGGCTAGAATAAGAAATATTGTTGATTGCCAGAGCGATATGGATTGAGAAACTCAGGTTACACATCGGGCATAAGTTGTAAATTGGGACTGTCTTCATTTTAAGGCAGGTTACAGACAAGTCCATCAAGAAAGAAAAATAGTTCTCTATCTGCTTAGTGCCTCACACTTTGGATTGTGCTAATATCTACTAGTCTTTCAGAAAAGCTCTGCCACTTATGTTCATTTTTTACGGAACAGCTTCAAATATTTTAAAAAGTAATCAGTGTTTTAGATAGAGAAATATATTCTCCAGATGTTTTATTTTAGCATGTTTTGCGTTATTGTTGGCCGTTTAAATGCAAACGACGCTTAATTTTAAACTTAAAAGTTTTTTTGTTGAAAAAATTTGAAAAAATAATCACACTATGTAGTGCAAGGTTAAATAGTGTAGCAGATAGCGCTATCTTGCCTAACTCTCTTTTTGTGTGTTTTTAATTAAATATGTTAATTCTAAAAATTTAAACCCTTCACATTTCTTTAACGTTCTTGAATCGTATAAAACTGTACTGATAATTTCTGATCACTAAACATTACAAAAAATAACTTTTTTATGATTTTCATGAAAATAGGATAACTTGAATTCCGGCTAAAACAGAGAGAGAGAAAAAACATTCCAAATGTTGATGTGATCACAAATAATGAACCATTATCTGGACAGTTAATATATATAAAAGATAAATAAATAATTACTTGTCAACAGACTTGATAAAATTCCAATCTAAGATCCTCACAAACTTACACATTGCAATGATTAAGGTTAGGTTACTTATAATGTGCCTTTCTATTTTGTAACAAAATTATTTCTCACTGGGTGGGAGGAGTCAAAAAATAGCTTATCCCCGCCTTCTCCCCTAATCCAGGGAAAACCCCTTAGAGCCTAAAGAGGCGAGAAAGGGAAGAAAAAGAAAAGGCAGACCTGAAAAAAAGCCCTACCTAATAAGACTTAGGCTTTTATTATTATCGCTTGCTGATTTTTTTCAATAAACCGACATTGTATTACTCTGGATACTAAGTACTAATGTTTCAATAATAATTTTATTGTATAAATGTCTTTTATACTTCAATTATTCAGTTTTTTGTATTAATTTTGTTTCTTTCTCAATGTAACTTATATTTTAATTTCCAGGCCAGATCATCAACCTGTAGAAGTCTCAGATGTACAAGAAAAAGTACCTAAGAAGTAAGATTTTTTTCAGTATAATATTGTCTAATTAAAAAGAAGCCGGTGGTTTATAATAGACTATTAATTTGTTCTATTCAGTCCCATAACAGCTGATGTCACCCACGCTTTTATTTCATATTTTTTTAAATTAAAATCTTAATGTTTTGTTATCAATACATCATAAGTGTATATATGTGCATCATAAATATATATATACGCAAAAATATATTTGAAAGCTTGACGTATCACATCAGTGGTTTATCTTTAAAATTTGTAAATACAGAGGGGATATACGATTTAGACTCAAAAGGTTTTAAGAATTGTGATTGACAATAATTAGATATTACGTTTACCAAAGAGGTAATGGTTTTTGAAATTTAAATATTTGTGCACTCATCATGATTAAAATTGTATATTCGATAAAAATACATGAACTGTCGAAGCCCAATGTGCTTGAAGGAAACAAATATAGTTGTATTCCATGTATTCGGAAATTTTATTAATGAAATTGTCATGTACTAATTTGTTTATTTTTTGCAGGCAAGAAGAAAACTTTTACACAGTAATACCTTTTGCATCTTTGATCATGCACAGGAAATTCAAAAAACGACAGGTTTTCAAGTTACCTAAGGAACTTATAGAAGAAGTTTCTGAGGTAAATTATTTATTTTTTAAACTTTAAATTATATTTGCTACAGTTAAACACAAATATCTCAAAGAAAGTAGTCCAAAATATTATACATTTATGCTTTTACTGATACCTTTATATTATATGACTTATTACAGAATTATTTGAATGTGGATGGTTGAGTTTAAATTCTAATAATAAATTCCTAACTTCATAACTTAACCTGTTAACTGCGTATGACGAAATATCTCTTTGTTTTTTAATATGTTATATAATATTTTATCGAAATAAATAAAATCAATAAATTAAAAATTATTTCCTTTTATTACTTGAGGTGTGATGATGTTACTTATAATTGTGAAAACAAAAGTTCCCATTGTGAAACGAGTTGAACAAAATTTTATTCCCTGGTTAACAGGTTAATATTTATTTAACAAAAAAATAAAGGAAAAATTCATTAAGTTATTAGCATTCCGTAATGCAATCAATTATTTTCCTTTTCATTTATTGCATCTCATGTACAAATTAAATTAGTTAATTATGTTCTTCTTAATATATAAGTTCTAGGTGACTTTTTTGTAATAAAGTTCCAGGTAAAAGTTCAACTTGTATTTATTCAAGTTCTGAAAAAAAGTTATGTTAAATGAAAATTAAACAATAATTGAGCATAGATTAGTTTCCAATTTGTCTTCAATGTATTTCATCTGATTCTAATGTGTCATTTGTTTGAGTAGCTAAGAATGAAGTTATTTTTTAGATCGACTTTTGAGCGAAATTAACAGAACTTTTAAATAAACGCTTTTTAAAAATATAAATGACCTACTACATCAATAAAAACATCAACATATAAAAATCAAGCAATTACACCAAGACAATAAAAACACAACAAATTTGCTAGATGCGCAGGTGCAAATTGCATAAAATAAAATAACTACTATAAAACCTTTACTTCAAAAGTTGCAATGGAAAAAGTTCTAGTTTCAAAAGAACTGAAAAAAACTATTGACAATAAAAATTCCATTGATACCGAAACATTTTAAAAATAACAGTTTTTTCCATTTCAAACTCTGGTTTTAATGAGGAAACATTCAGTTCAGGAATGCAAAACAAAAAAATAAATGTGATTTCTCAACTATTTCAATTTTTGAGTTGTATCTTTATTCTACTACAGAGACAATATTTGTGTTAGGCTCAGTATGATATATATGTATATTCATATATAAATGTATTAATGAACTATTTTTCATTTTTAGTCTCGGAAAAAGCAAAAGAAAAATGGAAAGACCGATGAAGATGGGAAACTTAAGGAGTCTGATTATAATTATCATTTATCCTTCTCAGAAATTTTAGGTGGAAAATCAGAAGATATGATTCAGCACAAACTTGGAAAAAGAAGATCAGCCAATCTATCAAAGCGGAAAAAAAGAGCTCAAGTTCAATCTCCTTCTGAAAATAATAATGTTGAAAATGGTATGTTATTTAATTAACTTACCTGAATCGTAATTAGGAAATAAAAACTATATTTTATTATTCATTGCATAGTATAGCCATTAGCTAAACAGAATATGACCATTATAAATTCTTCAAATTCATGGAGAAATTGGTTTGAGGGGTGTGTGAGTCAAAGAAGAAAACAAAGATAAATGTAAAACTTATTCTTAATGCTAGGAAATATTTTATTGTATTCCCTCATTAGGGTAATTGCACTTTTTCTTAATTTAAGAGCAATGTGTGCTTCCTTTGACCAAGTGATCTAAATAAACACTATTTAGTTATTCAAATTAAAACTGATCGTTTTTGTTTTTCTGTTTGCTAATAATATCAAAACATTATTCTCTGAACACTTAGCCTCGATCTTTTGACTGCATAAAGTTCTATGCTGCCCCTAGTTTTTTTGTGTATGTTTTTATAAACAGAATAATATCATTATAGTATATGCTTTGTTGTGGAAATGTATTAATACATATTTCTTTTTGCAGCTGCTGATTTAAACAATGATTCTGTGGAGGATGATGATCGTAAGTATTTAAGTATATTTTCACAAGAAGGTATTTTAGTTTTATATGTCTCTTAATTATCAGAATGGTCTTTATTTTTTAGGCACCATAATCTCATTTTCTTTATAAACATATAAATTACTTTAAATCTAAAATCTTTATTTTGGCCGTTATATCTTTATTTTATTTTGTCTTCTTCTGTTGATTCTTGGGTTTTTGGTTGCTGCGGTGAGAGGTAAAACATCCATCGAATATCTAAATATATGTTATGTTAACCATCATGCTTCAAATAAATAAGGCTTAAATTTCAGCAGCAGTAACCATCTTTTACCCATACACCACCTTTCTACTTTTAGTTTGCTCCCAACTTTACTGTTGAAGGCCATACTCATGTCAAAGTCCAAAACTGTACCTAGTTGTTGTTATAGGCAGGCCATAGTCAGAATCCGCCTTTCCTAAGATTTCTACCCGTTTGTTGAATCACTCTTCTTGTACTCCTCACATTGTAGAAGCTACCTCTAAGCACTTGAGATGATGTCACGGGATCAGGCTACATATCTTCTCAGTCATAGAAAGCTCTCCAAACCTAAAAAAAAATATAACCTAAAAATAAGCATTAGTTAGTAGATCCCAGTACTGCTGATAGTCCATATGCTGTTGCATTATACTTGGAACTCATCACAGATCTGAGGTCTAATTGACAACTTTGTGACTTAAATAAATTAGATTGTTATTGTTCCATTGTTCCAGAGATTATACCTTTAGAACTAAGATCATTGACAAGAATTACTGGTTCTTAGCAATAAATTCTTTAAGCTTAAGAAGAGATCTTTTATTGTCATTGGACTCCCAGGTGGTATTTGAGACATTAGTGTCTGAATAAATAACCACTTTCCTTCTTTTACCTCTTAAGACATCTTCCTTGTTGGATGTAGCAAGAAGGGGTCGGCAACCGATTGCGTAACGGAGCTCAGCTCAGTCAACAACTTGCCTAGCATCTGTAACCTTCTCATATTCCGTATAGCATTACAGCGTATATATAATATTTTTAAAAAATATCAAAGATGATCATGTCGGAGCTGAAAAGAATATATTTATAGAATATTTTCCCGTACACATTCGATTAAGAATTCTTCCACATTCACAGCATATTTTACATTGTACCAAAATAAAGTAATTTGAGAGGTTGTGCAGTGAGTGAAAACGAGCGGAAAGAAAGGATGACACTGAGGAACTAAGCCCCATGGTTGTGTGACAGTGGTGAGTAGGTGTGGTGGAGGAAGCTGAGCTTAGCGGAGTTAGCTTCCAAAACAGAACCTGGGTTGAAACAAAGCTGATCCTTGCTACACCACTCAACTGCGCTCAGCTCAGCTTCTGGTGGACGGCCTCTCATTGAAAACCTTTGGTTCGGTTTTGGAAGCTGACTCAGCTGTGCTTTCGGTGTCTGTCGGCCTAAGTTTTGTCCTAACCACCCAGTATGAATTCAATACTATTTCACTTAATAGCATTAAATATTGTCTTTGTGGTTTGTCTTTTTCTCACCTGGTCAAGATTAGGATTATTCCATAGTGGCAGCCCAGGGCCTTCTCTTTGCTCTGGAGACTGATCTCTGGCGAAGGTTTGAATACAAATTATGAAAGTACGTTATTCTAAGTAAAACGAGCTTTGTCTGCTGTTCCAGAGCCACTAAAAGTGGCGGCTAATTTTAAGAATATTAGATCAGTAACTTGAAGATTGAAACAGAAAATATATTGCAAAAAAATTAAAAAAAAAAAGTTTTTATTTTTTTAACTTTTATATATGGTTTCAATCATGTAAAAACCAAAATTCCTAACATGAGGAATCAAGGGAAAACATTTTACATTGGAAATAGCCATATTTTTTCAATCTTTTTTTCACATATAACTCTTAAACAGTGCTTCAAAGCAAAAAATTTATTCTGTAAGAAATTAAAGAACGTTAAATTGTGCGTACCTTAACCTAATAATTTGGCTAAGTGGTATCATCGAAAATCACAGTCAACAAACGTTGATTTTTTTTTAATTTATGAAAAACTGAGACAAATTACTCTAAGTGTCGCTGTAGCTTGGAAATGCGTACCCTAAGAGAAAAAATCTGGTGCACACAACACATAACTTTCACTTACCGCTCTACTTTGAATAGAAATTATTTTCTGGTAATGCTGGGCTATTTTAAAATGTTGAAGTGCATTTTAAACGGAGCTGTAGCTTAAACCTTACAGATAAAAAATCATTAAGACCATTAAAATTACAAAAAGTCTTATTTATTATATCGATGGTAGGCAATAAAACTTTAGTTACTCCATCTGATTTTATAAACCACACAACTTCAGTCTCTGAGCCTTTTAGTTGACAGATTGACTAACTCCAATTTCAACATTTTTAAGTAATGTAATTTTAGTGATATGTCTAGTTGAAAAAGTTATCTATAAAGACAGTGAGTAAGTTGATTCCAGAGTAAGTGATTGCAGTGTAAAAATATAGAACTGTGAATAAAGGTATAAATTTTGCTCCTAGAAACATCACTAAAATTAATAATAAAGAATGTTGAAATTGTTACTGGCCTAATATTCTTTAAATTAGCCACTAATTTTTAAAGAAGTTATAACTATTTTATACAATAACTTATTTTATTGTATTTAATACATAACTATTTTGTGTTTCAAGAAACTCCTTTCTATTTATAAGTACATTATAAAATGTAAATTGGGAAGCCATGAATCAAAAAGTATTTTTATAACTTTCATTCTTGCATTGATATGTATAGATTCCATTAAAAAAAGTGTTATTTAAATGTTTCAGATGATTTTGATGATATAATGGATCATATAGGAGACCAGCAGGTACCTTTAGAAGATGGATTAGAAGAATACAATGGAAATTTTGAAAATGCTTATGAAGCTTCTGCTCAACTCTATGGAGAAATTATGAAAACTAAAAATGATGTAAGAAACTTTCATTATTTGTTTTCTAGCTATATTACAATTTTTTTTTTACTATTTCAAATGACAGAGCTTGTTTTTGTTTATTGGTGTTTTTATTAAATTAATGATATCTTTAATGTATTTTCAGCCTTTATCTATAACAAAGAGGGTCGCTGCCTGGCATAATATGATACAGCCAGTTCTAGAAAAAGCTGAAGCAAGAAGTGTCTTCTCAGTCAACGAGTACGGAACCCGGATTTTAGAAAATTTTAAAGAGCCTGGTGAAGTTCGTCAGTTCTCCGATGTGGTGACTGGACAACCAAGGGAAGAAATTTGTCGATATTTTTTGTCAACACTTATGCTGGTATATATATATATATTTTCTCATTTATGAATTCTTTTATAATCTATAATTCTACTTTATACTTAGTTCATTACTCAGGTATCAGGTCACAAATTTATGTTTTGTTTTATGAAATAGACCTTATAACAAAATGTAGAGTCACCTTTAACATTTCCATCTTAATAACCAAATTATGATGATCAAAAATTTATTGTGATTCTTAAATAGTTGATAAGATTTTGTGTTTATATATCTCATAACCATCAACATCTATAATCCTTTTTAGTTTTCTTAGATTGCTAAAATGAATATGTTAATAGAGAAAGTAGAATTTGATAGTTTTTATTCAAATAACTTTCATTACTACATTTAATAAAAGGTGTTTCAAATGAATTCTATCTCTTTTCAACACGTCTCCAGTTTTAGGAATTTAAGGAAAGTAAAAGCATGCTTGCATCTCGATATTTCTTCAATAAAATGCCCTCTGCTGAAAACCCGTTGCTTCTCTAGAATAATTTTTTATTCTAGGATTCAGGTTGTTTAATGCATCTCGCACTGTTATTCTAAGTCATCTATCTATTAGAAATTCACCTGGGGAATATCCACTTTCTTTTGCAGCTGTTTGGTGTGCCAATTCCAAGTAGATTCTTCGTTGACAAATGTTTTATTGTAATGGTGCGAACAGTGTAACCATATAGGGGGTGGGGTGGCCAAATTGGCTAACGAGTGTGCACAGCTCCGCCGTTGCCCGGCAACCTGACAATTGATGCCTAGTGTAACCTAATAGCAGTGTAACCATATTTAAAGATGAAATTAGTTGGAGGAAGATGTGAGGGAAGTAAGTTGAGGATGGCTGCTGCCAAGACCACGGCCATTTTCTTGAAGGAAAGCTATGCTCTGAATCTCTAGAACATATAGAACAGTCTCTGATGGAATTATATCAAATATGAGTATACCTCCTGCGAAATTATTTGATGCAGAAAAAGCCAAAACGATAAAAAAAAAAAAAAGGGTATGCCTGGTGGATCTACTAGAAAATCTCTGAGTGAGGGTCAATTAAGACCTTAGCAAATGAAGAAATTAATTTATTTAACATTTGAAAAATAGAACCAGTGATGGGTTACAATATCACTAGGGATTATACCATCTGTTTAAGAAACCACATTAGTCTTTTTTTTTTTCTTTTTTTTATTACATCATTACAATTTTTTTGTTTGTTATAATTATACATTATAGTTTAATGAGATAATAATTTATAACATAATGATAGTGTAATATAATATATATTAATACTGAGTGGCAATATTTGAAATCTACAAGATTATAAAATATAAATGATAATAATATTAAAATAATAATAATAATATAATACTGATGTAAAATATAAATGATAATTACGATATGTATTGATATGAATATATAACTTAATCATTTATAAGATAATAATAAATATGAAAGGAAAGAAGAATATGAACTACAATAAGAATAATGGCTTGACTAGAAGAAATAGAAGTTTATAAAAAAACTGTAGGTCTCATAGTTTCTTATGAGGCATTCAAGTTTCTAAAGCTAGTTCAATATGGAAAGAGCATCGATCCCCATATGGTCTTATTGAGGTGTGCTGAGGGCTGTTGCGCAAATCAAATGTATATGTACTGCCTATGAGATAATAAGAGCTAAGCTGCTGATGGAAACAGGACTCTACATTCTTAATTGTGGGTTGATGGTTGAATGTAGTGAATAATGAAGAGAAGGATAGTTGGGATGATCAGTCAAAAATAAAAATTAATAATAATATTTATTTTAACTTTTGCCGACGTTTCGACCCGAAGTTCAGGACTTCATCAGGGCTGAGAAAAGAACCAGATAACAATTGGTATGAGAAACATAAACAATGTTGGTAAAAAAAAAATCTTAAAGTAAAATGAGGTAGATAAGTGAACATTAAAGTAAAATAAAGTAGGTAGAATCAATGATAATAACAATAACTAAGAAATAAATAATAATAACGGATACAAAGTGTGGACTAATGAAGTAAACATAAACAAAATAAGATAACATAAGTACTAAAATGATAATCTTAGAATAAAATATAAAACAGAGAAGTGAAAAGGACTCTACATTCTTGTTTTCCTTACCACCTATACTACTATTATAAAAACTCATATAATAGGCAGAGAAGGGTTATAAATTAAATATCTAGGATGAGTCTTCATCTGTAAATTAAATACTGTTGTCTTTACTGTTCCATTTTTTTTAACACTTTCCAATTATATTTTTGAAAAAAAATTTGTCAGAAGAAAACCCCTGATATCAATAATAATTAGATATTCACTCACCTTCTGCCATCGGAGAGGGCCCTACTACTACTACCTACAAGATTTATAAGATTCTGAGCTTAGCCATTTCTTTTTTTGCTTTCTAGACATATTTTTAAACACCCTGGCACCATATAATGTGCTAGATCGTAATGAATAAAAATTGTAGAATAGAAGTAGTAAAAACCACTTAATGTTGAACCAAAAACTCGTATTTTTATATTTGTTTTCAGTATTTTTGTATATCTATCTCTTTTTTACTTCCAGTTTGATTATGGTTGACACTTTCTGGCTGGCTTAAGATGAGACCTAGACAAATGAATTATTTTATTATAATTATCTTTGGGGGTTCCAAGTTCTCCTCCTATCTATTATATCTTGTGGAGTCCTAAATATTCTGATCTAAATCTGTTCTCATTCTGTATTCATCTATTCATTTTTTATTTAAAAGATCCAAACGTATTGATTTCTATGTCCCCTGTAGGGAGTGCTTCCTGTAGAAAATCCTTCAGTGTTCATTCTATCTCTTTCTGGATTCATTTATCTATTTCTATTCATTAAATTTTTCTTTATTTGAAAAGGTGAACTGAAATGACTCGAGCCTTATAAGAGCAATAAAAAGAGTTCTAATTGGCCTACCTACAGTTTATAAATACAGGTGGCCTACCTACAGTTTATAAATACAGGTGGCCTACCTACAGTTTATAAATGCAGGTGGCCTACCTACAGTTTATACATTTACTTATTGTACTTTTATACTTAAAGATTTAATTTAAAAGATGCTTGAGCCAACTATATATTAACTATATGTAGCTGAAATTATCTTATTTTTAGACTTCATATTAGTAATTGTGTTAAATTTACAATATTTCCTAATATATTAATTGTTGAGATGATTAATAGATTATGATGTTGATAGTTAATTGCCTTTTCATTTCTCAACTTTAGGCCAATACTTACAATTTAGAAATACAGAAAACTACTGACGAGGAATTATCTAAGGATTGTCTTCAAATGAAATTGCTTAGTAAGGTTAGGCATCATGAAGAGCTTGATGCGAATGTTGGAGCTACTACTGCTAATGGCCCAGTGCTCTAGAGGTTAGTTTCCCGTTTTTTTTATGTGTATTTAAAATGACCTGCCAACTGATTAATCAGTTTTATGGGAAAGTAAACTAATATATACACATGAATATTGGTTACTATGGAATTTTTCCTCCACATTGAGCTATGCATGAATGACTACATGGTAAGTTTGTTAGTTAGGAATTATTTGGAGCATCTATATAGTAAACTGAACAATAGTCAAAAGCGTTTGTTGTTTTCATTTCAGTCTGAAGTGGGTTCTCCATGTTATTCTCTTTTAGAACACAAATAATGTGTATAAGAGCTTGTATTATATGTACAAATTAACGCTTCTGTTGGTATATGAATCAGAACATTATTAAAGTTGGTATGATTCATGATTGATGATTGAGTATAAAGGGGACCCTACACGGTCATTCGGAATTGCACTAATGACGTTCCGAATTATCGTGTAAGGTAGTGAATGAAGTACTGATGGTGGTGCGCTGCGGATTTCCGAACATCTGGAAATCAAAGGTTCATTCAGGAGAAGTGGAGGGGGGACTGAGGTTAAAGTAGTGGGGAGACTAACCATACTACTGGATAGGTTAGGTTACCTAGGCCTCACAACCATTATAGATTTCTAATTTTCATTATATGTAAATAGTTAAATAATTTTTCATATTCCTTGTTTTCAATTTTAAAACATCTTCAACTATTTCTTTTAAATAGTCAAGTGGGCAACAATTTAAAAAAAAAAATGAGGAAACTTCACAATTTACTTTAAGAAAAAAAAAAAAAGAGTGTGAACATTGTGTATATTTATCAGTTCTTTTCCCATTTTCCTCAACAAATTTATTATTTTCGCAATACCTTTCCTTAATTTTTATAAGTAGTAGACTTATATTTTACTAACATTTGTAAAAACCATTTTCTATGAGACTAACCTTCCCTAGGTCTCCTTATTAAGTAAATAATTTCATAAAAGTAAATAGTTGTTTATATCCCTAGTCTATATTATTATTAACCATTTTAAACTATTTTTTCTTTAAATAGTCAAGTAGGCAATAAATTGAAAAAAAAGTGGAAACTTCACAATTTACTAGAAAAAAAATCTTTCAACTGTTGTGTTTATTTGCCATTAATTTTTCCATTTTTCTTAACAAATTGATTATTTTCGCAATACTTTTCCTAGATTTTTGTATGTAGTTGATTTATATTTTTCTAACTTTGGTCTAAACGATTTTCAGGCACTAGGAAGTAATTATTATATCTCCGTTTTTCTCTTGATGCCCAATATTATAAATGACAATGTCCAAATAAGCATATCTATGCTGTTTCTTTGTTTACAACTGAGCTAAATTGGTATCAGCAACAATAAGTAATGATCAGTAATGATTGAACGTGTAAGGGTTTCATGATCAAAGCGATCGCGGGCAATCTTGGCACTTCTTGTGACGTTCATTCATGAATTACTGTGTAGGGTCTTCTTAAGACATTAATACACTCTTCATTTCAATCACTTTTCTTGGTAAAACTCATTGAAAAATATCACCAAGCTGTATGATAAAAATGCAATTACTATGGTTTTTAGGATTACATTATTACAATACATTAGGAGATGATGTATCGTCGGCAAATGTAATCAGTAGTATGATCATGCTCAGGTGAGTGTACTATGAAAATGGTGAAATGTAATGGTCCAAGCACTGCTCTGTGGAACTCTTGTTGTAACATGTTTTATACTTGATAATTAATTTCCTACTTTTACAGTAAAGTGTGAAGTAAGACAAAATTTAAAATCTGGAAAACAGTTCCTCCTGCTATACCTGATCAAAAGCTTGACCAATGTCAAGGAAAAAGCTAGACTATGATTATTTTTTTTACTGTGAAACACTTGAATTGAATGTAATCTATCAATTGATGTCGCTAATGTGTTAGCTCAGGAGCCCGTGCAAAAAAATCAACAATATCTGGAAAAAAATTTGAAAGCATTTTTTTTGTACATTTATATTTTTTAAAAATTCTTGCTACATGTAAAAACGGCGCCTGGTTTAAATTATATTAGGCCAGTTACTTGTGGATAAAAAAATTCATTGCAAAAAAAATGGAAAAAGGTTTTTATTTTTTTAACTTGTTAAACATGTTAGAATATGAGCAACCAAGTGAAAACTTTTTACAGCCAAAAAAGCCAGATTTTTTATCTTCTTTGTTTTTTCATCTATAACTCCTAAATGAAATATTGAAACGCGAAACGTACTCTTAAAGAAATTAAAGAATGTTAAATTGTGCCTCAAATGATTATCTAAACATAATAATTTGGTTAAGTGGTATGGTCCAGCATGGTCATGTAAGCCTGATTTTTACCAGATTCATCAACAACTAAGACAAATTAATATAAATGGCCATTGAGTACCAACAGTTTTAATTTAGGTTAATTATACCATATTCGGTTTGTTTTGATACCTCCTTTCTGGAAATCCTTCGCTGCTGAGAGGTGGAAAGGAGTTCTAAACAAATATATAATAGACTCTTAACAAGAATAACTCAGTAGAATAAACACCCATACTGTTGAAATATTTAACTTCATTACCAAGTTTCAGCCATCGCTATTCACTACCGATTACGAACGGAGTAAGTGACCTACATTAAAACTGTTGGTACTCAGTGGATGTGGCATCAAAATGTTCTACAACTTTTATTCTATGAGATTTTTTCTTAGAGAACTCATTTCCAAGCTATAGGACTATTTATAGTAATTTGTCTCAGTTTTTGACTAATTTGGTCAAAATCAGCATTCGTTGACCGTGGTTATCGACCTTACCACTTAACCACACCATTAAGTTTAGGTACTCAATCGAGGCATAATTTAACGTTCTTTAATTCCTTAAAGAGAACATTGTTTTATTCGATGCACAGTTTAGGAGTTATAGGTGAAAACCAAAACTTTCAGTATCATTATAACTGCAGAGTATTTCCACACAAAACTGGGAAGTATTTTATTCTAAAAATACTGATGTGAAATTAAGTCAACCTGATATTAACTCTTTTACCGAATAAAAAATTCTTGGATTATTGCTATAATTAAGACTGGCAATATTTCAATACTTAATAACGAAATAATGTCTTGAAATATATAATGGGGAAATTATATATCATATTACCAGTAATTATAAATGTAATCTACAACGTACGACAATTTTACATTCAAACGTAAATACTATTTTATAAATTTAATGATATCGCTACTGTAAATGCACAAGGTTGTATGTGAAAATTGAGTTTTTTTTTTTATAGAAGTTCCTATAAAAACTAATTATTTCTTTATGATTTATTAGTATAGTTTCATATTTTATTTACCTCTTGTTATTTTCGCAGGCTACAAAATGTCACCTTTAGCTCAAAGAGAATAAACTTATGACATTTTGCACTAACAGTAGCTATATTTACCTTAAATTTTTTGTGATTTAATATATTCATTTTTTTTTTTTTTTTTTTTTAGGTTTTAGTGAGGCTTCACTAATTTTGCTGCTTCACCATACTTTTATCCTGATATGTATATAATTGTATAAATAATTGTTTATTTTATTAAAATTATCTTTTATTTAATATTGTTCTCTGTTAATTATTGAGAGAATAATGTGTTAGTTATGATCTCATTTTATGTTGTAGAACTTATTTACTAGAGTGTATATAATTTTATAAAAATTACGTGTATTCTTAAAAGGGAGCTTATTTATTAATTTTCTTTCACGATTAATACCATTAACTTAGTTAGTGATGTTTTTATTTTTAGTTGATTGAAATATCATTAGAAGGTTTATTTAGTCCTAAAGAATAATAACTTTATTTAAATTTTTTATTTTGATGCGAAATTTAATTTATTTATCCAGTTTCTAAAATCCTTTCCTAGCTCTAACTGACTTGGGTTCACCACCCAATTGTTTCGACTTTGTAAGCCATCTTCTGGAGGAAATAGAGTTCCTCGGAGCAGTGATATATTTTATAATTGTACATTTCTTAAAAACAGTATGATTGTTATTTCTTAATTGGTCTGGTTTTTAGTAACATGGTAGGCACGAAAATGGTTACATGTTTTCCCTACTTATTGTGATGAATTAAATTCTGTATTAGACAATTAACCGATAATAATTTCAACATAAGGCATAGGATGGTTTGAAAAAATAATATAAAACTAATCTTCATTTTATTTTCTATTTCAGGGTGTGGGTTGTTAACTTTGGTTTAAGATCTTAAAAGTGATTAGTAGATTTTTTTGTCATAAATTTGAAATAAAATTAAGTTTATAAAATAATCTAGGCATTAAAATACCATACTTGCTTGCTTCTTTATTGATTGAAATTAACAGTCACAGTTAACTGGCTGATGGGGCACTATTCCTTATCTTCAGAATAGAACTATAGTTTTTAAAAAAATGGACATTAAGAAATAAAAGTAATGACCAAACAAATTGGAAATTCAGCAGATAATAATTAAGATATGAAATGGTATGTGGAAAACAAATAATAATAGAGGAAGGCTGGTGGTAGCATCAGTAAACCTGGTCTGTTTATCAGATGACAAAGGTTGCTATCAAGAACAATGAAATGTATTATAGTCAAGTTTTGTTTATGTGCTGATAAATGAAATCATCTAGCGTGGAGGGGCCTCAATCCAACACTACCAAGCCTCACAATCTCTGCAGAGTTGCTTCATTTGTTGGAGAGTTTTTTCCTCCAATCCTCTGGATATATTCTTCATACAAAATTCTAGATCTTCCGCGTGGCCTCCTGCTAGTAGGTCGAGCTTCCATAACCTTTTTGGGTTCCCCGTCCTCGCTTATTGAACATACATGACGGAACAATTTGAACTGTCTTTTTTCAAGGGTGGATTTTAGTGCTTGAATTTTCAGTTCCGCCCTAATCCTTTCATTATAAGTGATCTCTTCATTTCAGCTCTTGTGATTCTGCTCTAGTCCAGCATAATCCAGCTCTCGCTCCCATAGGTAAGAGTTGGAAGCTATACCGATTTGTAGATGTGAAACTTGGTTTTGTGTCCCACATCTCGATGACCAACAATGCTATTGCAAATACTGTAATAGATTTGGTTCTATTCTATTGACTAAAATATACCGATCTATTAACAAAAGGCAAATACATCTTGATTGGGGTACTTATATAATTCTTTATGTTATGAAAATGATTTACTTAATTACATGGAAAAAAAAGGTTTATTTCTTTAGTTTTATTGTGTAAATTATTGTACCATCTTCTGTCTGGTTTCTATCCTACAAAATAATTGGCATTTCTATCCTACTAGCAGATGAAACTAAAATCATAATATTGGATTAGGGTGACATCACATTGCAAAAGTTGACACAGAAAAGAGGTCTAGATGCCATGAAGATGTGAACACCCTCCACACTTAATGAAGTAGAAACAAATTTATTATATTTATGATTATTGTAAGTTATTTCTTGTTTTATTAAATCATTAATACCTAAGTTCTATGGAAAGGACAACAGTTAAACCCTTATGTTAAGTTAAGGATGCTATTTATTAAAAGAAAAAACTGAAACTTTTTGAATTTTCAACCAGTTTTAAAGGATCTTTTAAGGTATATGCACAATGTTTTAATGGACATGAGTGGCATGTTTAAGTTTAAGTTAATTCAAAAAGAATTTTACTTATAAGAAATACAGAGATCCTTGCACTGTAAAATAAAATATAAATAAAGAAGGTTCAGGTGTGATATTGTGTGCTAGAATAATTATAGGGGCAACAAAATATTTTAGTAACCATAAGCACCGTTTGTTATTGGATTTTAGAAATGACTATGATTATGTAATAAGAAAGGAGCTATGGAGAGTTCTTTCATAGTCAAAAAGAATTCCAGAAATGGTTTAATACTTTAAAGTATTCATATGCATGTTGTTTATAGCACCTTGTTGTTAATACAGATATATTTGTCTTTCTCTTGTAAATAATTATTCCAAATGTAAGTAAATAAATATATTTATGTATAACTTGGAAGTGAAACTTAAGGAAGGAAGATGATTGTAACACTAATTTTTTAATTATAAATAGAGTAAAAAACATGTCTATTGTTCAGAATTTAACAATCTCACTCACAAATATTGAATATAACTTACAGTAGGAATTAGATAATATGGATACTTAAAAATGATTACTGAATACTTAATAGTTGACCGTTGTATTATATAGGAAGGAGATGGTCTGGAGTGGGGCGGTCATAAATAGACTAAAATAGGGGCAAAACTATTTTAAAGCTAACGTTTCAATCCAACTTTGCAGCCCTTCTTCAGGGAGGTGTGTTCAGCAAGGAGTTTCACTTAAAACCTAAGTGTGTCACCTGTTCTAAGTGAAACTCCTTGCTGAACACACCTGAAGAAGACCTGCAAAGTTGGGTCGAAACATTGGCTTTCAATAAAATAGTTTTGCCCCTATTTTAGTCTATTTGTGACCGCCACCCCGGACCATCTCCTTCCTCTAAAAATGATTACCTCTCTCCTTCCATCTTTTCTATTAAACATGGTCAAGTTAGGAAGTGGTATCTTGCATTTGAATAGCACTTGGCTCTTATCCCAAAAATTAAGAGCAACTTTTTTTAAAGAAAAGAAAATAAGTTTATACCTTGAATAAATAATTGGGGAGCGGGGTGGCCTAGCGAGCTAATGTGCGTGCACAGCACTGCCATTGCCCGGCAACCTGATACATGAGATAACTGAATAAAAATAGTCACGTGTTCGGGTCCCGCTCTTTTAAATCCCTGGCCTGGGAAAACCCCTATAGCCGAGGAAGGGGAGGATCCAGCAAAGAAAAAAAAAATAGTTAAATGAAATGTGTATGTGCATTAAAATTCCAAATAAGATGTGTACTCGGTAATCGTAATCTAAACAGTTAAATCAACTCTCAACCATTCCTCCAGATTATCAAGGTCCTACTGTATTTTAAAACTAATGAGAAGCAAGTTTTTTTCAGAATTTCCCCAAGAGTAGATTTTGTAAATCATTTTTAATATAGCATGTGAAACAAATGTTGAATATTTTTCAGTCTAATAAATGTTATTACTAAATTATTTCCTATTTCTTTCCTCACCTAGGAACGCATTTTTATGCTATTTTAATATATTTTGCTGATTAATTGGTGGTTAATGATATCGAGTGATACTGTCATAGAAGGTCTGATAAATCCTTTAACTTTAAAGTATTTAAAAGGTGTAACTGGAGAAACACTCCGCTTCTTTTAAAAAGACGAATAAATACTAGGATAAACAAAAGTTGTTTAACATTAAACTCGGATTCTCATACAATACATATGATGTATTATGGCTGTTTTGGTTCAGAGAAAATATCAAAGTGTTAATGCGTTTACTAATTGTAAATTTATTGCCAATCTATTAACTACTTCAAAAAAGAAGAGATTTAGAGGAAATATTTTTTTTTAACTTATTAATAACTAATAGTTGATTGTGTTATCTGAAGGTAAAGGTAAGAATGATTGAAAAATAGTTGGTTTATAAAAAACTATTATATTAAATTATTTCAAACAGTTCTTGTGGTTTAAATTCCTTACAATGATTAAAAATGTTATGTGTTCAACCTTGAATTCAGTCTTTCAAGGTAGTTTCAATCTTCATTAGTATTTTTTTTTTTTCCTTAAGATATGTTAGTCTATGTAGGCATGATTATTCATTTTAAAACTATAATAACTGGTGTACCAAGATTGCACATGATAGTATCTAATAATATACAATATAAAGTTAACAACATAATATAAAATATAGCCAATAAGTAAATTTCTACAATTGCTTTGATTATAATCCAGAATACCATTTGAATGCATCAAAAATTAATAGTAGGTAGTAGGAAAAGCATAAGAGAAAGGAAAAAATGAAATGTTATTTCTAAATTATAAAAAGTTAATAAATATTATATCTAAAATCAGAAACATTCCATGATGTATAGTTAAACAACTTATGAATCAGTTAACACAACTGAAAGAATGTATTACAAATCAAATTGTTTTAAAAAATTCAAGATGATATATATCACAATGTTTCTACTTAAGTTGTATGCCTGCCTGTACAAAATAGATGTAACTATTTAGTTAAACAGTTTCTTATCTTAAACAATTCATGAAAATGATCAGATATTATTTTAAAAATGGAAAACATTCTAAATAAAACAATACTTGAACTGATCATTTAACACTTAAAACATTTAATGTCATGTCGCTTCATGAATATTCTAGGTTAATGCAGATAACCTATATTTTTTTGTTATTTATAAAATATCCAAAATAAGTTTTATTTATTTATAGATCCAATATGTTCATTTCTACAATTTAGTACAGTAATTGACCATAAAAACTTCATCTATACTAAAGTAACTTTAAACTTTTTAATATCAAATAAATCAAGCTCTAAAAAGCAAGTTTTATAACTAGCTCCTTCATGGAACATAAAATATTCATCGCAAATTTCGAATAAGTGACCAGTATGCATCAGCTTTTACATTAAATCGTATTTTACTGCCTGCATTTGTTAATCAGTAACTTAATAGCTAATCGTAATCCAGAATTATTGATTTAAGTTAATGTTTTGATAGAACAGCTGCAGGTTTTCTTTAAATATACAGCATTGAAATGTTCAAAATATTGTACTTGAATAATAAATATGGCAAAATAGAATTTCAGTTGATGGATAAATAGGCAACAGCTAAGGAACATTTTTTATTATGCACTGATATAATTGTATTTTTCACAATGTAACAAGAATGCTATTCATCCAAGAAATGATTAATTGAAGAAAATATCTAGGTCACTTTCTTTTCAAATGCACTGGGAAGGAAGAACACTGGATAATATATTATTGAGTATCAAAGGACTGCTATAACATTTGACACTACACTTGTCCCGCATGGTATATTAATTAAAACAGAATAAAGAATCGTAAAGTATCTTCAACCGGCAGAGATGAAGATAATGGCTAGGTTGACCTGTTTAGCCAATGTATCTAGATAATAGTCATAAATTGTGAAGTAATTATATGGTTAACGTTTAAGTGTGTTATTAAATTTACAAGTTTCAATTAATTTTAGTTTGTACATTTAAGCAATTTCACTTAATGAGATATATAGAAGAAAAGATTCCTAGTAGTTATGGAATCTATTCTACAGAAATAAGTGGAATAATATTAAATTTCAAAGGCAATCAAGATGGTCTTAGATTTCTAATGAACCATTTTATAATAATTAAATCAGTTGGTATTAATAAAAGAAATAAGGACAATCTTTCATGTAACATGCTTAATTTGTGGCATTCCATAACTGCAGTAATGGGGATCAGTTATTGAAGTAATAAAGAACCTACAGTTAGTTGTATTTTGTACGCCTAGTTGTAGTCGTAATACAAAAAAAACACTGGACTGTTTTAGAAAAATAAATTAAAAGAAAAACAGTTTTCAAATACACTTCAAATGAGTCAAAGTTTATCAATAATTACAATAAAAGCAGTTGACCACCATTTTACTATAATTTCTGAAAAGTAAATAATTAAGAATAAGGATATTTTGTAATAGAAAATCTTAGAAAGATAGAAACAGGGCTAAATTTATCCTTGAATGCTCAATTAATTACAAATGTCTAAATTGTGTTTCTTAGCTGTTGAAAAGAAAATTATATACATAGTATAAAATTTCAGGCATACAATTCATACAAGGAACAATTTCAAAAAGAAAATGAAATACATATTAAAATATCGTCGGTTTATTGCAAAAAATCATATAGAGACATTGGATAACATTACGAAATTAACAAGTTCGAAGAATTTTTTCTCTGTGAAGAAAAAAAAAAAAAAAATTGTGCATTTATAACCATATGTGATATATAAAAAAAAGGTTTTGTGTCATTTTCATGTACTTATAGTATTTTTGTATTGGTTAATAAAGTCAAAATTCATCAAAACATATTTGAAAATTAACCTTATTAAACAACTGCACTTAATGAATTTTTGCAATGCAACGATATGATTCTGTTCCTGAAGTAAAGGTAATATGGTGTAATAATAGAAAGATAACATTAAAATCTGAAGTAACTATGTCATTGCAGTTTAATACTAAAATAATTGACCCTAATATTTAATACTTCACAAATAAAAATTATAATACTCATGAATATAAATTGAAAAAAAAAAAATTGTGTTTAATCTCAGATATGGAAAAGGTAAATAAAAAACATACTGAATAATAATAACTGTAATATAAGTTACATTTGTAATTAAGACAACAAAAGATACTGATAATCAAGTTCAATAGTTTGTACTCAAATGCACCAATTCAAAATTCATTTTACAAACAAAAGTAAAACATAAGAAAATGATAATAATTTAAATAGCTAATGGTGAAAGGTTTTAGGAAAACAACAAATGAAAAAAAATTAATAAATAAAAAATAAGCTCTTATATTTAGTATCAAAGCAACTGATTTTTTCTTTTCTTTTTTCATTTTGCTATATGTAATTTACAAGAAATCAAATAATTATAATAATAATAAATATGAGACAAAGATAATATCCTAAAAATTAAAAAGTTAACATAGTCCTGCTTGTGCCGCTGTAAAAATCACTTAACATGCCTCTCCGATTCGGAAAAATAATTTGACGCTTAAGTTCGTAAGTAAGGTATATATAATGCTGACATCAAATGTTTTCTTCGAAGTATACAAACAGATATTCGGCTAATCTACAAAACTTTGTTCTACACAAGCCTTTACTCTCTTTTCGTATTCTCTCCTGTTCTCTTTATACAGTTGAGCTGCCATTGAATTCGCTGGGGAATTAGGATTAGGATCGCTGAGAAGGGACTGGAAAACAATAAAATTACACAATTAAAATGTGTAGTCCAAATTCACTAATAATAAACAATAAACACATGGATAATATGGTAATATAAAACTTAACGATTAATTGGTTAACACAAGTATAATCAATACAAAGAAAAAATGAGAAAAAAGGAAGCATACACTAGTATAAAACATGAGTAACATATTATTAAAATCTGAAGAAGTAAATAATCTAATTTTACTCTTACTAACATAGAGGATTGCAGCATACAATTTTTAAGCATATCAAACAGGGAGAAAAAAAAATTGTACCTCAACAAACCCTGGAAGGGTTTTACTCCTAATCAATTATTTAATTAAGAGTAGCCACTATATAGAGACTGGGTGTGCACCTGGAGGATATCACAATCCCAGGTTCAGTCCACGGCTGATGGAACAAAATAAATAATTAACTGTTATCAGCCAGACTCCCAGGTTCGGTCCACGGCTGATGGAACAAAATAAATAATTACCTGTTATCAGCCAGACTCGAACCCTGGACTTTGAGCCAATCAGCTTGGTGCCTAACTCACTGAGCTACTCCACTTCCTTAGAAAAAACCATAATAAATTAAATTCCAGCAAAACGCCAGGGTCAACAAAGCAAGAGTGATAGTGACCTCTCTTACTCTCAGACTAACGTGCACAGTACTGAACTAAGATTTTCATATTTTTCACAAATTGAGAGATGACTACTGACATTAAGCTTATGGATCAAACATTTTACATGTAAAAAGAAACAATTGAAGACAAAAGGATTCATATTTTCAATATTATTGGTAACATCAAATGGAAATAGGGGGTGTGTGTGGTTCTTATAGCAAGTCGCCACTGTTTGCAGTTTTATAGTAATCAATAATCCAAAAAAATAAAAGGAATTGTGATGATCATAGATGGCAACAATAAAAACAAATTGACTAAACTATTTAAAAGCTCAACAATTACTAGCACTGGTGAATATTGTTCCTTAATGTTAAATAAGACCTTCACTTCAATAAAACAACTATTTATTTTAAACTAAAATATCGACCTCGGGGTCGGGAGACCCCAGGGGTACCCCCAGCCTCTACAAATAAAGTAGGTACTCTTAATTAACAGTACTTCCTTACATTGCACGGAACCCAAGACTCTTCATGGGTTGTAGTGGCACATTATTTTTCTTTTTAATCTAATTGTACACAATCAATACATCATTACTGTTAGTGCAAAAGGTCATAAGTAACAATTTTACAAATTTATTATTTTTGTGTTAAATGTGACATTTTGTAGTCAGCAACTGCAATAAGTATTCAGCTAAACAGAAAAATAGCAGAGGGAAATAAAGTATGAAATTATAATAATAAACAAGAAATTATTGGTTTTTATGCTCTTTTGGAAGAAAAATCAATTTTTATATATATAACCTTTTGTATTAAAAGTAGCATAGTAATTCTAATTTGCATTAATAACATATGTTTTTTTTTTAAAGTTATATATTACAATGCATCCAATCCTAACAAAGATCAGCACGTCTAATGTTATATTTTCAATAAGAGAATCATAACATCAATTTTCACAGAGAGTCACTTTATACCAATAACTTTCAGGCTCCATGGCAAATTAGAACCAGATAATTTTTTGAATCTGTTGTAGTATTTGGGTTACTTCCTTAGAACAGAATGGCCCAGTTGTATATTAAATTTTCTATTATTATATAAATAAAATAGCTATTGAATTTAAATTTTGTATTGTTGAACCAGCTCTCATACAATGTTTCTAAGACGTCTACAATTTCTTTTGGAACACCTCCATTTATTTATCCTATAACAACATTTCATAAAGTACCCTTCTTATCAGCAGACTTGTTCATGAAGGATACTAAAAATGGATCAGGCATTTATTTCATCTTTTAATTTTTTTCATAGCACGAATAACATAATTTTTCGGACTTATGGTTGTATAATTTATAAATATATGATCACTATAACTCATGTTATATAATTATATACATTATATAGCTATGTAGTGACTGGTGTAGCTAGCCTATGAGACATTGTAATAATGAGGTAAAATTGACTAAATAGTAAACTGTGGAAGTAAGTTTTAATCATTTACTTTTGGGCAGACTTGGCTTCACTCAGAAAAGTTTGGGATTCGATTTACATGATCATACGAATGTATGGCCAGTTTCTAATCTTGCTGACTGTGTTCTTCCCAAATACTAATTTTACATTCTAGATAATTAAATAAGTAGTAAATTTTAAATCTGTCTTTCCATAATTCATGGGATATATTTACATAAATATATCATAATCATATGAAATGTTATAATTTGTGATACATTGTTAAAGGTAAGTCAAATATATCACACTACATTTAATGAAAATTATCTAAAAGACAAAATAAAAAAAAAATACTAGTGTCTTCAAATCTAAAAAAAAAAAACAGATTAAGCATACATAAGTGATGGCCACTATCATAGTAACTGCTGTACCAAGATTTTAGCCTTAATTAATTTTCGAGCATATTTTCTTCAAATTCATTATATTCAAGTAATTAGTACGTGAATTTCTGACTCTGAATGGGCCCTTTAACTCACTTAATCCCTTAGGAAAAATAACTTCAGATGCCAAAAGGATATTAATGAGCATCGTAATGATTTAATATGATGATATATCGGTATAAAATCTACTTGACCAATGGACAGAACTATGTACATATAAGCAAAATTAATTTCTTTTCCTTAATAAAATAATTTGCAAGGATCATAATTGTTAGATCAATTATATCACGTAACATCGTGACTTGATCAGACCCAGAAGTTCTACACTCTGGGACAAAATTGTATGCAGACAAACATAATTATGTAATAACAATAAACAGTATTTAGGGAAAATAAAAACATACCTGTATAGATGTTAATATCGCTGAAACATCGTACGTAGGACTCCATCTATTTTGTAAAATATCTAAACATATTCCACCATCAGCATAAACATTTGGGTGAAACATTTTAGAAACAAATCTTACAGTTGGGGGTTTATTGGGATATTCTTCAGTAAATTCAATAGTTAATTTAAAAGTTCCATCTTCGAAAGGAGTGTCATGCGGTCTAAAATGAAGAAGTTGAAGTAAATATAAAGTATAAGATAAACATGGAGTATAAGATAAAAACAATTGGCATTGTGATGAATATAGAATTTAACTACATGACATCATAATAAAATTTAAAAAAATAATCTTTACCCGAAAATTACTGCATTCCAAATCATAATATTATTGTCAGTTGGGGCACCACTGACTCCAGTTGGAGGATCTTCTTGTAACCTAATTAAATAAGATAAATTAGAGGTACATTATTTAAAAACATGTTAACAAAACAAGATATAGGTAAGTGGAATGAAAATCTAATAACCTTCAACATGAACATTTCAACTTCAAGGGGTTTGGCTGTTAGGAATTACTTTCTAATTACTACCTCATATCAATAAAAAAAGCATTCGATAAAAGTTAAATGCTATATATAAATAAATAATCCAAATTTCATTTGGTATAAAATAATATAATGAAGTTATTGAGTTAAGACTAATTGATTTTGCAGGTCAATAGAAGCCACATTAAAACAAATATGTAAATATAATTAAAAAAGGTTTGATTTAAAAACAGTTAACTGTAGAAATAAAATGCTAATTTTTCTAAGCATGTCAAAAGACAAGAACGTTTGTGTCAAACAGTTCCTTATTCCCATTGAAAACATATTGACCTTATCACTCCGATTGGCAGGAAGAAAATTATAAATGTCATTACGTGTTGAAAAACATACCTTTTGAAATCCCTCATCAACCGTCTTCTGGCAGGTGTAGACATTATAATCTATTTTATAACAACCAGTCGAGTAATTTTAAATACTAAATATATCCAATTTAGTAATCGTTACAATAAAACTTCCTAACCTTAAGCTAACTCAAGCCATAGGTAAAATAAATTTCCATCCTAAAATCAGTTTTGCCAACAGACCAGTGCATCAAATACACCTTGAACAGCTGATCTGAAAGAATAGCAAACTACCTGTTATTTAGCATTTTCCTAAGATAAAATATACCTAAAAATTGTATTTTTTATGTTAAACATTTTTAAAACTTATTTTTAAAGGAGAATTACACAACCTGATAAATTTCTCACATGATTTATAAATATCATACATCGATATATGAATGAGGCATTCGTGCATCACCGACTTGTTTACCGAACCTGCGCTCACCAAGTTTTATTAATAGTATGTTCTATTAGTCTCTAAATTAATTTAATTAAATTTCATGGTATTATTTGTTGTAGATTATGAGAATTTTCAATTTTTATTTTTTGTATCTTTTATTTATCGTTACTTTAATTTTCTCTTTATGTTACAAATAACTATTGAACAAGGTAATTTTTTAATTAGCTGGTAAACATTTCTTGATGAGTCTTGCTTATTTTTTACATTTCTTCTAAATGTGCTATAAGCTTGAATACAGCCTATTTGGCAATATTTTTTTTTTGTGTTTAGTAAGACAATCTTGTTTTTATAAGTATAGCCCAAAAAGTCGTGTGTTGATATGGACCTCCATCATCAGAGTTAATTTTTAATTTATTATTGTTTTTAAAACTACCCGCAACAATAGTGCTAGGAAATAAAATTGCTCTTGAAGTATAAGGCGGAAAAAAATTAATATTTTAGTAATTATGGAGGAGGGCGGACTCCAGCTCCCTCTCCTCCTACTGGAAAAATATTTTTTTTTCATTAGACCATATTTGTTTCTGTAAATGTTCTGAATTAATTATTTAAACAATCAAGATAAATCCTCTTTTTAAATTATAACGCATTTATTTCATCTACTAAACGTTAGCATATGTATGCTAACAAAAAAAAATGTAAAACAATGTCTCTGTAAATTTTTTTGTTTGAATGGCCTTCAAGGACCACTCAAACATTATGTTGTATAGGTTTTCATTTTCTTATAGATTAATCACCGTTATTAAAATTTAAAAAAAGTCAAACCCTCCAAAATTAAATCTTGGATCCGACACTGTGAGAGGAGCGAATAAAGATTGGGTGGTTTATGTTATATAATAATAAATGGTGCATTTTCATTTTAAGAAACATAAGGTTTTACTGAAATTATAGAGATTCCTAAAGGCTCCTACACACAGAATGCGATAAGCCATCGGCGGTATGATATTGCTGTCGGCAGCGATATGGCGACATTATAGTTGTATTACTGGGTGATACTCATTTTAGAGGCAAGTTTTAGTCCATTACATCTTTTACGTGATTATTTAAGTATTATTTGATTTTTCCCCACTGCTATACGGCGAAGAAGTATTTCTTAGTAATGAAATATTAAAAATTTAAATATTAGAGAATATTGTGATTTTATAATTACTTAACATGGGTGATAAATATTCAGGAAACAATCATTATAAAGTTTTTATTGGTGCCGACGTTTTATTAACATTATTTTTAGTTTGTAAAACTTTTTACATATTTCATTTGTCTATTTTATGTATCATCAATCACCATTTTCTTAATATTAATCATTATATGTCATATAATATTGTATTAAAATATTTTCAGCCCTGAGGATGACCCACATGTTTGTGTTGAAACGTCGGCACCAATAAAAACTTTATAATGACGGCGTCCTGAATATTTATCACCCATGATATGTAGAACAGTCGACTAACTTCCTTCTGTAATTACTTAAACTACTAAAATGCCATTACGACGTATTGTCACACTCTCAGTTTTCTAGTAAACAATTATTTTTTTATAAAAAAAAATGTATTTATATTTTTAATTAAATAAAATTATATTATATTTTTTTGTAAAGTATATTTATGTATTTTCAAACATTGTCCCATCACTTTGATACCATTACCAAGCAAAAAAAATAACATCAGATATTTAAGTGTTGATAAGAGGCAACAGTGGGGAAATTTCTTCTATTCTATTCAGTCGGCGCGACAACTCGATATCGAGTCTTGACCTCCTGTACCAGCCTCCACCAATTGTTCCTATCCTGTGCAACCGCCATCCAGCTCCTCACCCCCGAAATGGACCTGGCCATATCACTAGCCATACCGTCACTCCACCGAAGCCGAAGTCTTCCTCTATGCCTTGTTCCGTGCATTACTTCTGTCATGATCTTTTTCAGAATGTGATTCTCATCCATTCGAGTGACGTACCCAGCTCATCTCAATCTACCGAGCTTCATGAAATGAACCACGTCTGGTTCCTCAAACAAATCTTTGAGCCCTTGGTTTGTCCGACTTCTCCATAACTAACCAACTTTCACAGCTCCAAAAATTTTACGCAAAATCTTTCTCTCAAAGACCATTTGATTCTGCTCGTCAGTTTTGGAGATAGACATGTTTCTGAGCCATAAAGTTGCATCGGTCGGATAATTGTTTTATACAATAGGATTTTTGTTCCTCTGGTTAAAGCACGGCTCCTAAAATATGGATTGAGGCCATAATAATAACGATTGGCGCATAGCACTCTTCGCTTAATTTCGCTTAATCTACAACATTATAGGGATCCGAGATAAATAAATTCCGACACTTTTTCAATGGAGAATTCTCCGATGGTAATCCTTCCGCCCGGTATGGGATTTTCCTCTGTGACCATATATTTGGTGTTTGCAGCATTGACTTTAAGACTCATTTTTCTTGCTGCTTCCACTAGTTTCAAGAATCCATCAGGCTGCCTTGAAAGAGCGTCCAGCAATAACGATATCATCTGCATAAGCAAGAAGTTGCACTGTCCGGCTGAATACTGTTCAGCTCACTTGAATACCAGAATCTCTAATGGACTTCTCTAAAGCTAAATCAAAGAGAAGGCATGTCAGTGCATCTCACTGTCTTAGTCCTTTTCCAGAAGTGAATTCTGCCAATCTTCCTCCTCCAACTTGCACCAGGCATCTCACTTCTCTCATGGTAAGTCTTACCATTCTAATAAGCTTTTCAAGGATTCCGAGCTCTCTCATTGCCTCATAAAGCTGGTCCCTATGCACACTATCATACGCTTCTTTAAAATCAACAAAAAGGTGATGTGTTTTAATCTTATATTCACTTTCTTTTTCAAGCATGATGAGCAAGCAAAATATCTGATCAATGGTAGATCGTCCTTTCCGAAAACCACACTGGTTCAAGCCTAAGATCTTTTCTGCGTAGGAGAGTAGTCGTTGAAAGAGAATGTTGGACAACACTTTGTACGCACAAGAGAGTAAGAAGATGCCTCTATAATTACCGTAAACTAGCCTTTTTTATCCTTTTTATTGATGGATTGGAATGGACATATTACTGATTTGTTCCAAGATTCTGGCATTACTTCATCAGTCTAGCTTCGAACGAAGTAACGGAAAATCTACAAAACTATTGTTTCCAACTTCTTCCGAAAGATCTTCGTGCCGAGAGAAATGCCACTTCCATTTTTCAAGAACATCCATCCTATTGGTGGTAGAAGCTTGCCACCTTCATTCAAGAAGTAGGTAGATTTGCTTTCAAAAGGTTTTCCTTTCCGATTGATTGCTTTGAAAAATTACCTATACTGCTTATTTCCCCTAAGGAGTTCAGTCTTTTCTAATTCTTCCTTTTCCCATTTTCTTTTCTTATACTGGTGGAGACTTTACTCCATTCGCCACTTCTGTCTATACAATTCGGCATTACTCCTGGTCTCGCGCTGAACCTTGGCTTTATATGCTTCGTCCTTCAAACGTATTGCTCTCTTACACTCCCCGTCAAATCATGGAGATCTCGAATCCCTCTCTTGTGGTCCAAGCAGTTTAGTGGGTGTATCTGATATAGCCTCTGAGTATGTAGTCCATGCGGTGTCGATATCGTCCACCAGAACATCAACCTGCTGAATACACCTATCCAGTTCCAATGAAAATTCGTTTCATTATTATTATTAGCTTTACTTACCTACTGAACAAAAATCACTTTTGATCTTGGCCATTTGCTTAGATAAAGCTGAGCTGCAGTAGAAGGTGTAGGTATTTAGAAAATTGTATTTAAATGCCGTCAAAATGATTAAAATTTTATCATGAAAATTGCCCATAATCTGAAAATCACCCTTCCATCCATTGCATTTTAGTAGTCAGAGAGAGCGCGATAATCCGCTGCGATACCGACAAAGTGTATCGTATCGCCGGGACATATCGCATTCTGTGTGTAGGAACCTTTAAGGATTTTGTACCGAGAATCAATTGAATATTGATATGAGGTTCGATCAATGGTAAGAGCCTAATCCTATTTATATTATTATACTACAAAATAAATAAAATACATTCTTCACTTTACAATACAACACCTTTTAGATACGAATTGACTTTTAATATGATTTTGATATAACGAGATAACAAAATAAAATACAATTTGTTTTGTGAAGACTTAACCACTAGCGAGAGATTATATATTTTAATTTCGAAAAAAAAACAGCTGTCTAGTGTATTTTTAATTAAAAGAAAACTCCAAATGTGCTATTATTTTTCAATTACATAGAAGAAGAAACTGCTATGGGTGTCTCGACAATTTTAAACATCCCTCCGGTTATGAAGAGATATGAAGAAATGGTGCGAATTCAGAAAAAGCCACGCCAACGTGAGTTATTTGAGGACACCAGCAGCTACTTGGGAGCACCTGTTCGCGGTAGCCTGGAGTTAGTTGGGATATCGTACCATATGAGACCTGCTCCTGACTATGTTCCTATTTGGGAACTTGAGGATATATTGATGAAAGAGCTTAAATGCTCTTATAATTATACAGGATTGGAAAGGTAATGTAGAAAATACATATCCCCTCTTGATCAGAGGTTTCCAAACTACGTCCCACCATTTTAGTTTATTTTAGTTAATATGTAAAATTGATAAACTATTGGAAGCCAATTATACAAAATAATCATCAGATGATTTTTATTTAACGTACAATTTACTAGCATACATTTTAACGAAACTGTTTTTTTCGCTTTAATTGATGATATGAAATTGTATTCAAAAAAAGCCAAAAAGTTATATGCAAAGATACTTCAAACATTTAAAATAATAATTATGATTATCTGAGGTATTTAAGTAAGATTTAATAACAGCATTTAATCTCCCAACAATTTTTCTTTATTTTTATGACGTTTCTCAGTATCAGACTAGGCTCTCTCTAGAGGAGTCCACAACATAATTTAAGGAATGAATTATGAAAATAAAAAAATTATGACAAATCTTATACATAAAAAAAGATATTAGGATGAGATACTGTCTGAAGATGGGATAAGAAAGTGGATTCCGAAACGTTATAAAAATAAATAAAATTATTAGGAGAATAAATGTTATTAAATCTTACTTATATACCTCAGATAAAACGTATCTCTCTTTGGACTTATGAAGAAATTATGACTATGAAATTTCATAATTTTTAAACACAAATCGCTACCTTGTTTTGACAAGGTTGTAACTGACATTTTCAGCTGAAATGAGATCATTAATACTTTTGACCATTGGCTTTACTACACCGTATGGTGAGGACACTGTTGTGACTTGAATGTATTGAAAAATAATGGGAATGTGTTATTCTTAGAAATAGAATAAGTTGAAATTTATTCACTTTTATTTTTAACTCACGCACATATCAACACATTGAATAATACTGCTACTAGAAACATATGACGTACATTAATCCTAATATAAGTAAACATATGGTAATTGGTTAGGCTATAACAGTCTCCCTCACTAAAATAAAGTTCAATAATAATAAAGTCTAAAGTTGATAATCATGCAAATACAATGGAAGTCGCTTCATTCGTGTTGACCTTCTCGGTAGATGTTGAGGATCTATAGGTCTCTCAGGCTGGGGCTCAGATGTGAACGCCGTGGCTCAGGGTGGGTTGGTCGTCGTCGATCCTTTTGATTCACATTAGGTGCCATAGGTACTCCAAAAGTCTGTGGGGTTTCTCTAGGTGCAAAAGTGACATGTTTCTTCACCAAGGTTGAACGTAATTGGTCCACATGACGTTTAAGAGTCCTCCCAGTGTCCAGTTCAATTATGTAATGTCGCTGACCTAACTTACGTTTTACAACACCAAATAACCAGACGTTGCGATTGTTTAAATAAACCTGTGCCTGTACTCTCTCTCCCTCTTTGAATTTCCTGATGTTGAATTCCGCATATGTTGATTTATAGGCATTAGGATTAAGTCGTAATGCATCTAGTTTGATTCGAAGTCTTCTATTTAGGTAATTTTCTGCTAGAGACAGTCCACTTGCTAAGGGCGTTGCCCGATATCTAAAAAGAATCTGACGAATTTTGATAGGTAAAGAGGAAGGGTCAGTGGCTGCAGCTTTAAGACGGTGTTTCAGAGTTTGGACATTACGTTCAGCAAGTCCATTGGTTGAAGGATACCCAGGTGCAATGAATTTCTGGACTATGCCAACACCTTTGCAAAATGTTCTGAATTTTTCGCTAGTAAATACAGCACCATTGTCGGAGACAAGAACTTGAGGATATCCGTGGGTAGAAAAAATATCTTCCAGAAGATTTATAGTTGTCTCTGTGGTAGGAGTGTCTCGTAAAATCTTGACTTCAGCCAATTTAGATTTGGCATCAATGCATAATAGAAAATGGTGATTATCGAAAGGACCGGCATAATCAATATGCAAGCGTTCCCAATTTGATTCTGGCTCGTCCCGTGGGTGTACCACTGCTTTTGGTGGACTATTTCTTGTACGAGCGCAGTTTTCACAGGATTTCACCAATTTTTCAATATCTTTGTCTATTTTCGTCCAATATACATATCGTCTAGCAAGTTGCTTCATCTTTGTAATTCCGATATGCGTAGAATGCAATTCATTAAGTACTATGGGTTGTAATTTTTTGGAGATAACAACGCGATCCTGGCGAATTAAAATTACGTCTGAAATGGTATATGGTTCATCAGTAGACTGAGATCTGAGAAGTTGTAGTATTAATCGAAGTTCTGGATCTTCTAAAGTTTCATTTGCTAAAGTTTCATACGTAATTTGTTCAAAAGATCAAAAGATCTGTTGAAATATTTGAATGAGGTACAGGTGTACGAGATAAACAATAAGCATTTTTGTTTTGCTCGCCCTTCTTGAATTTAACGGTGTAGTCAAAACCAGACAGGAATGACGCATAACGAAGAAGTCTAGCAGATGTCATTTTTGGAAGTGCTTTGTTGTGATGAAATATCCTAGTTAAAGGCTCATTGTCCGTAATAAGGGTCAAATTTCTACCAAAAACGTACTTGTAAAAATAATTGATTCCAAAAATAATGGCTAAAGCTTCGCGATCTAACTGGCTATAATTACACTCTGCTGCTGTGAGAGATCTTGATGCGTAAGCTACCGGCTTTTCCTGACCATCAACTTCATGACTGAGAACTGCTGCGATTCCAGTAGGACTGGCATCGGTCGTTAGAGACAGGGGCAAAGAAGGATCAAAAGGTGTGAGTACACGATCACTGCAAAGTTCAGTTTTCAATTTAAGAAAAGTCGATTCACAGGAAGCAGACCTAAAAAAAATGGAGATTCTTCCTTAATAGACAACGTAAAGGGTATGTGAGTGTAGAAAAATCTGGTATAAAATGGGAATAATAAGTTACAAGTCCAAGAAAACGTCTCAATTCATCGATTGGAGGGACGTGGCATTTCCATGATGGCTCGCCTTTTCTTAAAAACATAGCAAGCGAAGGTGGAATTAAAAAAAATCATAGATCATATACAATTACACTTGCTGCGGTATATTTCTCTCTTGATCCTTAGTCTGGAGATTTACTTATTTTATTATATTCAACTACATGTCCAAGATAATCAATTTTCAGTTTAAAAAACAAGCACTTATTTTTGCACAAATGTAAATCGTGTTCTAAAAGTCTTTTTAAACAAGCTTTCAAGCTTTTGCTCATTCTTCTTCTGTAAATCCATGTACAATGATGTCATCGAAGCAAGCTTCAGTATTTGGATGTCCTTGTTAAATATTACATAGCACTCGATTAAATTCAGATGGAGCGGTTTTTATACCAAAACTGAGTCTATTCACCTTATATGTTCCTCTGTGAGTAACCATTATCTGAATGTCGCTGCTTTTTTGATCTACTTTTAAGTGAAGGTAAGCTTTAAAAAGATCTAGCTTACAGAAGTACGGCGAAGACTATGTAGTACATCGTCGATTCTTCGTATAGGATGGTTTGAGGAAACTAATCGTTCATTTACTCCACATTATAATCTACACATAAACGAACTCCACCATCTGGTTTTGGAATAATTACTAAAGGAGATCCCCAATCACATGTTGCAACTGGTGTAATAATTCCTGCTGCTTCTAATGATTCAAGCTCTTTTTCGACTTTCTCACGCAATGCATATGGAACGTCCCGTTCTCGAGTAAAACTTGGTTTCATATTAGGTCGGAGTTGTAATTTAAGTTCGTAGTTCGGAACACATCCTACTTTTTGTGAAAACACTGGACCGTATTCTTCGATAATATCTTCAACCGAATTTATTGAGTAAACTAAGTTTGGTTGGGTTAAAGTTTGCATTTCTTCATCAATGTCTTTTAATTCTAAATTAAGATTTCTTATCCATATTCTACCTAATAAAGCATCATGACCTTGCGGTACAATAAACAATTCTTCATTTATAGTTTTGTATTTATAAGATACGACAAGAATAATTTTTCCCAAAGGTTTTATTATATGGTTGGAGTAGGAACGAAAAATGAAATTTGTTTCTTGAACTGGAACATTTAAATTCAATTTTCGAAAAACATTCTCAGAGATCAAAGAGAAACGAGCGTCTGAATCTACTTCGAAACGCTAAGGAATACCATTTAATTTTACTGTGACAAAATATTTACTGAGGTCTCGAGCTACGTCAAATAAATAAATAGTTTCCTGCGAATGAGATTGTTCTGAAGGATTAGATGTAATTTTATTGATACCATAACAAAGGTTTTCATTTTCATTTTGAACATCAGCGATCTGTTTAGTCGTATTGGAATGAGATCTATTTTGTTTATTATTATTATTATTTTGTAGCCATGTCGAAATGCATCCTTTGGCTATGTGTCCAATTTTCCCGCATGAATTACATTTTAATCTATCACGCCTCACACGACAGTCCTTAGCAGTATGGTTAGAATTTGCACAATTGAAGCATAAGTTTTCTATTCCTACAGAACGATGGTCAATTTTATTTTTACGAAATCTGTGAGATGGGCTCTGTGAACGATGGCATCTTTGATTTGAATTACTTCGATTTTGACATCTGCGTCTATGCATGTTTCTGGCAATCTTATTGATACTAGTTGACTCTAAACTAGAATCACATGTTAGTCAGGTCAGCTCGTTACCTTCTAACCTAGTAGCTTCTAAAGCTATCGCTTTGGTGACAAATTCATCGAATTTATTGCATTCAGATTTTAACAGGTGTTCTCTTATCCAGCTTTCTTTCAATCCTCAAATAAATTGAGCTCTGAGTAGGACATCGGCAAATGAAACGTTATTGCTGCAAGAACATGAGACGCAAAAATCACAGTCAAGCAAACCCCGTCTGAGAGCAGCAACAAAATCAGAAGTATTTTGATTGCCTTTTTGAGTTATATTGAGAAAATAATGCTGTGAAACAATCTTGCTCTTATATGGTGTTAACATTTCTGTTAATGCTGAAACAATTTCATCATACTTGAACGTATTAACAGGTTTATCGGGGCCTAAGAATGCAGATAAATTATTGTAATGAGTTGGACCAATAGATGCGCATAATATCTGTG